AACCAAGTGGCCTAACACAATAGGCATTTATAACCTGACGTGGTTTCTCTAGTTTAGGAATCCAGGGCCTGTCTAGAGGGTTATTGTTCAGGATCACCCATGGAGCTCCAGTTTCAGAAGGAAGATTTCAAGTGGCTGGGGGACTGGATTCTGAAGTGCTCAGTCCTGTGCCTTCCAAGTTCCAATTGCCTGTCAGGAACTGAAGCTCCTGTTTCCCTGGAACTCTCTCCATGGAGGGGCTGCTTGAGTGCTCTTAAGATTCCATGGCTGGCTTTGCACAACCTAAATGATCCGAGAACTGAACCACAATGTCCTTTTACTGAACTGCTCTGAGAAATCACACATCATTTCTTCCATGCTGTGTCCATTCAAAGTGAGTCACTGTGTACAACCGACACTCCAGGGGAAAGGACCACTAATGCCAGAGTCCAAGAAAAGCCAATGGTCATGATAACTGCCAGTTGATGGGACCTCTTCAGTGATACTCCAGGCTCCTTTCCTTAGGTTGTCTTATCTTCCGCTGTGGTTTTAAGTGCAACCTCACAGTGCTCACATTGGTAAAGATCTCTCTTTGGAGTCAGAGACCTATCTGTTCAACCTGCTCCTAGAATGTGTTCAAAGCACTGCAGTGTATCCTGTTGATTATGCCAGAAACTCACTACTCATCCTTGACACTCTGTTTTACCCTGCATGTTCAGTTCATCATCAGACCATGCAATTTTTTGTTCCTACAATAGATCAAATATGTGCCATCATTATCCATTTAAAGCAAGCAACTGTTTTCTCTCATCTTTACTGCTACAAAATAGCCTTCTAATTTGCATTTCTCTTTCATTCCCTTTTTATTAAAAAAATCTTGTAGTGAAATTATTGTTTTTTATTTTAAATACAGTATTTGGGGAAAATAAAAGTGAAAAGGGGAAGAAATAATTTTTTTAAAAAGTAAACTATTTTCTAATGTTTTTTAATCACAACACTAAGGTTGGTTCAGGATTGCAGTTTCTGCTGCTTGGAAACTTGGTCACAGAATTATTTTTTTAATTGGATGTTGAGTATGTAAAATAATCTGTGAGGTACACAGATTTGAACAAGACATTGAAGGCTGGCCTAGGATGAAATATGGAAATGTTTGATTCATCTGTCGTAAAACTATCTAATTTCCTCCCCTTCATGCAATAGCAGGTAATTTAGTCTACACAGTCTGGATATTTCTTGAAAAGATAGACAGTTCCTTCTCTATGTTACATTTGTCGGTCTAGTGACTAAGTAGCATGTTCCTCCAAGTCTTCAGTGACCACTGATAAAAGAATACTTCAAGATGTTGATGGAAATATGGAATTAAACCTTAAGTTTAGATGTGGACATTTAGCCTAGTGGTTAATAAGCTGGTTAAGACACACCTACAATCCATATCAAAGTACCTGGGTTTGGTTCTGCTCCTGATTACAGCTTCCTGCCAAGACAGTCCCTTAGAGGGCTCCTGCCACCCCCAAAGGAGACCTGGATTGACTTCCTAGTTCCTGGCCTCTGCCCCAGCCCAGCCTGTCCATTGCAGGAATTTGAGGAATAAACCAGAGAACAGGAGCTCTGTCTGTTCTCTGTCTCTCTCTCTCTAATAAGTGAATTAAATAAAACTTTTTAAAGATTAATAAATTTATTCTGGTGCAAACATTTTTTGAAATCCAAGCACACTTTTTTTTTTTTGTAATGTGCATTTTACATACACTTTTGGAAGGCTCTGTATATCTCATTGTTTGTGTTCACTCCTCTCATTCTCTGGGTACCCTTTGAGCTACTTCTGTGTTATTATGGTTTTAGCCTATATTCTGCTCCTGATTTCTAGATCCATGAATCCAACTGACTATTGAATCTTTCCAGGGATTACCTTGATTGACATCTTAAATGTAATGTATTTAAAATGAATTTTATTGTGCTATGCCCTCAACCAACTAATTGACTACCAGCTTCTTAAGAAATCTGTGTTGTCTTTGATTTATTTTTGTTCATAGCCTTTGTCCTATAATCCTGTGTCTCAAGTAATATTTCTTTCTTTGAAAATTCTGCTCTAATAAGTCGTTGACCCCTATTCACAGGGGTGGAGAAAGAATCATCTTGTTGGGTCACCAGGTTGTAGGCTCCTACTGTCCCTTCCCTGGTTATCATCACACACTAGTTCTTTAAGGACTTACAGAATATGATGTCAGACATCATCGTACAGGCTTGACAGTAGGAGAGAAATCCCAGGAGAAGGAAAGAGAAAAAAAAATAAGAGGTCTGAATGAGGTGGTTGATATCTCAGAAAAGGAGGAAAGTTTGAGAGAGGTTTTTGCTGAAGCAAGTAAGCAACTGTCTAGTGTCTTGGTCTAAATCATGTTTTTGACAGTGAATACCCACATTAAAGCTATATCAAAGTTTTGACAAAATTGACTGATGAGTTTAATCAGCCAAATTGTCCACTTAGTCACACAAATGCTTTGAAAGTATGATTTGCTTATTTGTTTGTTAAATTAACTTATTTTTCTGAACTCAATTGACTGGTTAAGTCAACATGATAAAGTCAGTTGAATTCAATATTTGCAAACAGTAATGTGTGTGTTTTTAAAATGGTTATAGTGACATTAAGAAACAACTTCTCTCTTAAGAAATATATAATTCTCATCCTAAGGACCTTTTGTGAACATGAAAACAAAAACATCTCTGATTCCCCCATGAAACTAAATGCACAAAATACTTAATACTTTCATTATTCAATGAAGATCTGTAAAACTTCACATGCATTAATGAAAATATATTATCAATGAAAATAGAAATAGAATCTTAGTGTTAAATTGGACTTCATGTTTTAACAAATAGGAATGTTTTATTTTGCAAATAATAGAAATGCATATTTCAGAAACTATCTGTCTGTTATGAGAATGCCCTGCCAAACTGTTGACTCAAGGACAAACATTAAAAGTCACGTGGTACCCAAATTCTGATTATTTTAAGTCTACTGATCAGTGCAGTGGACCTGTCAGATTCTTCGCAGAGAGAGAGTGTGTGTGTATGTGTGTTCATGTGTGTACACATGAAAGATGTTGGATGACAACCAGAATCAAATTAACTATACAGTGAAACATGAAGAGCTTTAAGTGACCTGCTCAGGAGTAGTGTCTGGGATCTCTGATACTTTTACTAAAATATCATAGAAATGAGACAACAATTGGTGGTCCTCTCAATTTAGAAATAATAGATATGTTTCAAAAATCAAATCAGGATTTTCTCTGTTTTAAGTGAAAATGTTGAGAGTTACGCAACTCCTGCCTTCCCCTACCCCTTCCTTTATTCTCCTGCCTTCCTTTCCTTTCACATTTGGTACTTAGTAAGAAAGTCACAAGAAAACTCACATAGACTTATTAAAGTTTTTTTGTAATGTAAGTGCTCATTAGTGAGTTCATTAACTGTCAACAGATTTTAAGTTACCACATGTTTCTCTAGAACTGATTCTCTTGCATACAAACCAACAGTTAAGACAGTTGCTAAACACTTCATTTAGAAGTCCAACCATAGTCTTTTAAAAGACTTGCTGAGTTTTAACAACAATTACACATTGGACTCTCTTCTAATCATGTGCTTGTTTAAGTTCACAGTTTCGGAATGGAAAACTGTTACGCTTGACATGAAAAGGTAGATAATTTTATAAATAAAAATGAAATCTATATATGTTTAGTCAACACCTGAAATGAAATAACAAACTGGAAAAATATATCTGCCTCAAATATAAAAGGCAAATGTTTAGTTTTCTTGCTCTTCTAAGAGTTTTTGCAAAAGCAAGCTTCGCATAGATGTGAACAAGAAGTCCACTAATGAATGAAAGTGGTAAACATGAAAATGTTTCACTGTGCACATAAAGTAGTGCAAGTCAAATATATATTATACATTTAATCAATCACAAAATTTAAAGGAATGGATAAACTTTAATTTTGAAGAAGAAACTGCTATTGGTAGAATTATACATTTTTAACATTTTTAAAAAATCTGTTGGTATTTGCCAAATGTGAAATGTATTTAAAAATCAGTTAGATTTTTAAAACAGAGCATAGAATGCTTTTAGATAACTAGATACTCCCAAGCCATTCCAGCCAGGTGCGCACATATGTTTAAACTTCTTTGCAATTATGGCACAAAAGCACTGAGACCTTCCTAAATGTCCATGAACATCGGACAAATTAAATTATTACACATATATACACAGATGAAATAGAAGCATTAAAAATGAAGGAAATAATATTCATAAATAGAAAGATTTATGTTACTTATCATTAAATTGTTAAATAATACATGGTATCAGTTTGTGAAGTGAGTTACATTTATCTGAGTAAACTAAAATGAAAGGTGGGAGCACACACACAGGGTCTCTTGTTTTGGGTGGGAAATTCTAAAAGGAAGGTCGTGGTGTGGTCTCTTTACAGTGGAGAAAAGGATGACCTGGAAACTAAAGGAAAATACAATTTTTCTCCACATATGATTAACCCATTATACTGACCATGTCAGTAATTACTTAAAATAATGAAACTATAAAATTGAGATAGGCTACTTAATCAGGTGTCCTTAAAGTCAGTAACAGTGTTGATTTTTTTTGGAGATGACTTTTGTAAGAAAGAAAGGAAGGCCCCTGAAATTTACCTCTACAAACAGGATGATATTTCTGTGGATAATCATAACTTCATACCCCAGGCCAAAGTTTTAATAGAAAATCCAAGTTGCTTCTTTTCTATTTGTAAGAAAAAAAAAATAATGTGATACATAAGAGTTTTAAGAAGTAATTTTATTATTAGATTTTTTTTAAATGAAAGCCTGGAAGGTTACTGAAGTGAGAAATATTCTACCTTATGTAAAATTATGACTCCTAACTGGTGTTTCTTGTTCTGAGTTGACCCCAAGCCCTGGAGAAGTACACACCTGTGTGTTCCGTTGAATATACTAAGGATGATTTCTTGTTCCCCCACCTCTTCTGGCAGCTTTCAGCCGCGCCCCGATTCCCATGGCCGTGGTGCGCAGAGAGCTCTCTTGTGAGAGCTACCCCATCGAGCTCCGCTGCCCAGGAACCGACGTCATCATGATCGAGAGTGCCAACTATGGGAGGACTGATGACAAAATCTGTGACTCGGACCCTGCTCAGATGGAGAACATCCGGTGTTACCTGCCAGACGCCTATAAGATTATGTCTCAAAGGTACGATCCTTCTCTGCTTCTTGCACATATACTGGCCTTCGTTAAGTATCTGTGTGACGTATGGGCAGAGGTAAGAACACTGTTGTGGGTTTTAAGAAAATTTGAAGTACTTTTCAATGTCTGACCGTTCCCTGTATCACCAAAATGCTAGTTAGAAATTGCAAGGAGCATTTGGAGAATTGTGAGCATTTATTACATTATCTATTAAGTTTCATGGTCTAACCTGCCTATTATAAGAAACATGGTATTCTTTAGAATTTTCAAGAATAGTTGTCTCCAAAAATTGCAGAATTATTTGACTGCTAGCAATTATTTTCTAATAGTGTAGAAAAAAAGAAAGATAAAATTGAACTAATGGGCAATTTTTATGATCATTAATCAAAATGTAGTAAAAGATGGTTGACTTAAGATTGTATGGCCTTGTGATGCCAACTACCTACCCCAAAGAAAACTATGAAAAAAGTATTCATTGGCTGTCTAGTATGTGAAATTAATTAATCTATTTAATGCATTTAACTATCTAAAATATTACAGTGTTAAGATAAACTACGACACCATATATTGTCGTTCTATAAGAAAAGATCTATGATTTTAAAGAGTCTGGTCAGTAGAACTGCAAAGCATTGAAGGTTTAAGTTAGATTATAATTTCTTCATAAACTGTTAAATATCATTTAAGTAACTATTTACTATTATGCTTTCTCGGTAATCAGTTTTGAAATCACTCATTTATGATAGGCCTTCACACATTCTGACTTCTTGGTCATAAGGTACTTTTAAATAATTCAGTAAGTGATTTGTTTAATGAATTTAATTTACTTAATTGAGTAAGCCAGCATTTTCATTAAGATATCTATTCAAGCATTTCTTTCCCATGTATTTTTTAAGGAGTTTTGAAAATTTGAGGAAAACTAAAGGACAAGTAAAACTGAAGAAATTGAATTCTCAAAACAAAAGCAATGAATTTCAAAATTGCCTTTCTTGTACTTAGATAAACTGTCATTATTTATCAGCTTTTATCTTCTTGATGCTAAAAATCCTGGCATTTCTTTGTGCGTGGTTAATAAAATTGTTGGTCAGCATCTTATTTTTATAAATTTCTGTTCTATAAATTATTAATGCAGTTTATGGAATGCAAGGTTTTTGATGATCAAAGTTTCTGAAGTATACTTAGAGTATAACTTGATGCTCTACAGACTTGAGTGTTTTTGTCTGTCTGTTACTTAAGTGATGGCTTATGCCAAATTGAGAATTGATGAAAGATAAGATTTTGATTTTATGGATTCCATTTGACATAACTTTGGTTGCCTTTGGCTGCTCTTGTGTGTCTTTCTCATGGATGCGTATTTGATCTACCTCCCACCATGCCTACAGCCTACATGATGCCTCCCATCATTCTGTTGTATGCAGGTGCTGTGATGATCTCTTAGGAGTGGTCTTCTGTGAGGAGCATAGATTGGGCACTGCAACACAGTTCTGATTTTCCTTTGTTCCAGACAGACCACTGAACATTGGATTCTTCTGGGTCTGTTTGGGGTGTGGGATGAAAAGGAGGTTCTGTTTTTCTCTGATTAAATTTTCATTTAAAATGTAGCAGAAATGTTCACTTGCTCTTTGATCTCTGTGATTTTTATTGAAAACATTTTAATCCCTTCATTGATATTATTAATGGCTTCCAAAATAAGCCTTTAATCTTATAATCATTGTAAAAAAAATTTATAATGGATCATCTGGAGCCACTGAATTACATGGGATGCATACATAAATTGACAAATCTGTGGAGTAAAAATGCTTTAAGCATCCCTAGTAAATCATTTGGTAAGCCCTCCTGGTGATTTCTCAAATAAGAGTTGTCACTTAGATGCAAAATTGTGGTTAATTCTCCATGGAAGCAAGATCCTCTTTATATTTGAACCATTAAGTGTACTGCATTTACACTTGTCCAAATTAAATGTTTTTGACTCTTGCAAAGAGAAAATCGAGTTCTGTCTTAAAAACTCCCAAGAGATGTGATGGCCATGGAACTTAGGGTGCTTTATAATGAACTTAGTTAAGCTACATGCCAAACACTGCATGTTAAATAATGCCAATAATTTTAATTATGACACAGAGATATCATATTAATAATGATGTGAACTGTTTCAGTAGGTAAATGTGTTTCAGTTGAAATCATAGTGGAAATCATCTTTTCTGAAAGGCGTCCGGGTGAACATGTTTTCTTTCATATAGACTTCTAGGATGAGACGACATCAAGGTTTCAGGACAATTTACAGGAGTTTTATTACTAAATATTACTTAAAGTTACTTCTGGTTATTGTATAACCTCACCAAAAAGCCCCCATAACTTGCCTTGGATATCACATAAAAGTAGGGATATAGAGTGCCATTCATGTGGACATTTGAATACGTATTGAATAAATGCATAAATTAAGCTGCCTGCTGACATGTGAGTTAAGTATGAACAGCTCTAAAAGGGTATGACAGTTGATTCCCACAAGTTTCTCCATTAGCACTCTCTAGTCTAATATCTGCTGTGTAGGTGCTGCTTTCCCTTGGCCTTTGAGGTCACGCTGACTGTTCTCAAAGGCCAGCCCTGATGTTCTTCTTATTACCACCTGCATTCATCTCTGTCATGTCTAAACGTTAAGCAACCTACAGTTTCACATAGCTACCTCTCTATAGTAAATTGTAGGCTTCTAGTTACGTAAAACTAATTTTTTATGCACAAATTAAATGTAAGTATGCTCTGTAATTTTGTCATTCCTCTTAAAAGTTGTCTTAACTCTGTTTAATCTGGGTGACTTCTGTTTCTCTTTATTTTGCATTTATACATTCCATAGAGTCTTAAGACGTTTATTGTGTATGGCTTTGGAATCCAAATGGCAAAATGGCTATAAGCCACTAAGTAACTTAGGAAATCTTGAATTGGGAATTCAGCTTAGATTTCTTGAGCTTTTTTTTTTAAGAATTTTCTTTTTTCTTTTAAAGATTTATTTATTTGAAAGTCAGAGTTACACAGAGAGAGGAGAGGCATAGAGAGAAAGAGGTCTTCCATCCTCTGGTTCACTCCACAATTGGCTGCAAAGGCCGGAGCTTTGCAGATCCGAAGCCAGGAGCCAGAAGCTTGTTTCAGGTCTCCCACATGCGTGCAGGGGCCCAAGGACTTGGGCCATCTTCCACTGCCCTCCCAGGCCATAGCAGAGAGCTGGATCAGAAGTGGAGCAGCTGAGTCTCAAACCGGGGCCCATATGGCATGCCAGTGCCTCGGGCCAAGGTGTTAACCCCTCTGCATCATAGCACTGGCCCCTATCTTTAGGTCTTAATGGAAGCAATTCAACTATTAACTCAGTCAATACACAAAACTCTATAATATGCAGATCACTATGACTGTTACTGTAAGACTTAATGGATCAATAAATCAGGTATGATTCCTGCCAAGAAAACTAAACTTTGAAGTAAAGAAGAAATAACTAACTGTGTCATTTGCTCAACATTTTTTTTTTTTTGTCTCATTCACATTTAGTGTGGAGAGCAAAGGGAAGAAGCTTTTTGAGCCAGGTGACAATAGAGAGCACTTCACTGGAGAGGAAGCGTTAGAGCTGATTCTTGGAAGACAGGAGCATTAGTGCAACCAAAGGAGACCAAAATGATACTAGATGTTCCAGTGGAAGAACACCAAAAAGATTGTATAAGTCAAGTAAAGTTTGTATAGTATATACTTGTTTTGTGTCTGACATTACTCATTGGGTACATTTTTACATAACTTTATTGAAGTATTTAAAAATTTATTATTTTATTTGAAAGGCAAACAGGCAGAAAGAGATTTTTCCATCTGCTGGCTCACTTCCCATAGACCCATGATAGTCAGAGCAAGGTCAGCCCACAGCCCAGAGCCAGAACTGAGTCCGTGTGTTCTAGCTGGGTGGCAGGGACCCAATTACTCTAGCCATCACTGGTTGCCTCCCAGGGTACCCATTAGCAGAAGACTGGATTGGAAAGGGAGGAGCTGGGACTCAGACCAGGCACTCTTAGATGGGATGCAGGCATGCCAAGTGGCATCTTAATCACTAGGCGAAATACCTGTCCCTTAAAGTAGCTTCTATATAATTCACTTGTTCCAAGTGTATAATGAGTGTTAATAAATTCACCAAGTGGTGCAACAATTCTGATAAATCAGTTTTAGAACATCCCCATCATGCCACATGATTCGTCATGTCAGTTCCTGATAACCCTTATCTCCTCTCCACCTCATGCAGTGACAAATCTGCTCTGTGTCTGTACATTTATCCTGACACATTATGTTTAAACTAAAACATGAACACTTGAAATCAATTTTTTTCAGAATTCAATTTTTAAATATGTAAGGCCTGATATTTGAGTTTAAAAAACCAAACTTATACCTAGTATAAAATGAAATAGGGTGCCCCAAAATTGGAGATTTTAGTTCATAGTAAATTTAGTGAGTTAACAACATATCATGGTTTTCTAAATAAATAAATATAAGGTCAGGGCTGGCACTGTGGCTTACTGGGTAAGGCCGTTGCCTGCAGTGCCGGCATTCCATGTGGGCTCTGGTTCAAGTCCTGACTGTTCCACTTCTGATCTAGCTCTCTGCTATGGCCTGTGAAGGCAGTAGAAGATGGCCCAAGAGCTTGGGCCTCTGTACCCACTTGGGAGACCCAGAAGAAGCTCCTGGCTCCTGGATTCAGATGGGTGCAGCTCTGGCCGTTGCAGCCAATTGAGGAGTGAACCAGTGGATGGAAGACCTCTCTCTCTCTCTCTCTCTCTCTCTTTTCTGCCTCTCCCCTTCTCTGTAACTATGACTTTCAAGCAAAATAAATAAATCTGTAAAAAAAAGTCTCACTTTTGTTAGGATAACTCTTATCAAGAAGATAAGTGTTGATGAGGGTATGGAAAGTTGGAAATCCTTATACATTATTGGTGGAAATGTGAATTGATGCTTCTGCTATAGAAAAAATGTGAAAGTTCCTTCAAAAGTTA